TCAACAATCTCTCGGAGGCGCCGTGTCGGATTCTGCTTAATTTCGCGCGGCTCCCCTCTGTCTGCATCTCCCCGATGATTCCCTCATAGTCGACCCACCCTCAGTTGCTCCGAGGGCTCTCTCCGCAAGCTCAGGCCCGCCTTCTCTGCCCTCGGATTCCTCCACTCCGGAAAGACCACAGGCCCCGCCAACGCTCTGGAGTTTCTCGGCATCCGCCTCGACACACGCGACATGGAGGCCTCCCTCCCGCTGGACAAGCTCGAACGCATCCGCGCTTTCTCCCGGTCTGCCTTGGCCTTCCCGTCACTTCGAGGCGTCCTTGCTCTCCCTCCTCGGGCATCTTCATTATGCCGTCTGTATCATTCCCCAAGGTCGTTCTTTTAATTCCAGACTCCTTTCCCTCGCCGGCTCCGTCTCCTCCCTCAATGACGCGTCTGCCCGGACGCGGGGCGCAGCTCCGACCTGGCGTTCCGGTCCCGTTTGCAGAGCCGCTGGGATGGTGTATCTTTTTTTTTTACAGAGACATCATCCTGTCTCAGATGCCCCGCGGTTCTTCACGGACGCAGCCCCGTCCGTGGGTTTTGGGGGTTTTCCAGGACCAGTGGCTCGCCGGGCCCCGGCCCGACGCTTTCCCTCGAAGCATCTCCTCCGCGCTCCACGAGATATATCCCGTGACCGGAGCCTGCGTGCTGCGGAACCATACGCGGCATAGGAAAAGGATTTCCGTGACGGCGACAACCTCGACGTCATTGAAATAATTAACAGAAGTCGTTCATCCTCTCCCCAAATCACACCCTCCTTAGACGCATCACATGGCTCTCAGTCTCGAACAATTTATCATCACTGTTCGTCACGTCCCTCGTCACCTAACTGTATTGCTGACTCTCTCTCTCGCTTTAAATTCCAGGAGTTCTGACGCCTCTGCCCTTCTGCCAATCCATCGCCATGCCAGATCCCCTGCACGGAATCCCTCGCCCCGGCCTAGTCCCTCTGTCTCTTCACCTTCTCTCCTCCGCTGCATCCTACATGAAAATGGGCTTCTTACGCATAAGCGAATTCACAAACTCTCACGCCACCTTTAATGCATCCCGAGACATTGCCTTCTCTGACCTGTCATATTATCCCGAATACTTCAACCTCCACCTCAAGCATTCCAAACGCAAAGGCGCTTGCAATATAGTCATAGCCCGGTCTGACACTTCTCCCTGTCCCTACAGATCCATGATGCATTACACTCGCCTCCGCTCTCGGAAAGGAGATCTCAACGGACCGTTATTTCTCACCCCCAATCACCTCCCAATGACATCTAACTGGTTCAGAGCCCAACTCAAGTCCGTACTGCTGCTTTGTAACCTGTCTCCCCATCTCTACACAGCTCACTCCTTCCGGATAGGCGCCGCCACGCGCGCCGCGTCCCTAGGACTCCCCCATTCCGCCCTCCAGCAGCTGGGCCGCTGGTCATCATCGGCCCTCTCCTCATCCATCAGGCCTGACACTTCGACCATTCTGACAGCCCAGCGCCTCTTGGCATCTCCATAAATCACTCACAAAACTTCCTGGTGGCGGCAGCAGCCGAGTATCCGCAAGTATTGATCACAGTAGATAGCGGTCACAGCATATAGCGATAGCGGTCACAGCATATAGCGATAGCGGTCACAGCATATAGCGATAGCGGTCACAGCATATAGCAAAAAATGGTTAGCAGCATTGCGCTGGCGGTCACAACATAGCGATAGCGGTCACAGCATATAGCGATAGCGGTCACAGCATATAGCGATAGCGGTCACAGCATATAGCGATAGCGGTCACAGAATAGAGTAGTCACGACGTCTGTCCCCTCCAAACCAGGCTTCGAAAACTCCATCAACACGCAGCCTTTTTGGGGATTGTGCGCACTCCATCGCAGGAGCCTTTCCGATCTGAAGGCCGCACCGGGACCTAGGGCGCCAAACCTCCTTTCAATAAAATACTCAAAACTTCCTGTTTTCTCGTCTCTCCAAATTGAAATGCAGCCAGCGAAAATTCAATTTGGTAGACGTTAACCAAAATTACCCCCTCCAGGCCGGCTCGCATCCCCAGCCTATCGCTCAGCAGACGCCCCCTTCCAATCATCTGTACCGACTCGCCAGCCGCATAAAAACGGAGAAACTCCCACTCTCGGCCTCTGAAGCCTTGCAACCACCGCCTCCCCTCCTCCTCCTCTTCACCCTGCCTCCAATCTGCCTTCAATCTGCTTCCCGCTGCCAAATGCCGCCACCAGTGCCTAGGTCCCGGGGGATTGTGCGCGCTCCATCGCAGGAGCCTTTCCGATCTGAAGGCCGCACCGGGACCTAGGGCGCCAAACCTCCTTTCAATAAAATACTCAAAACTTCCTGTTTTCTCGTCTCTCCAAATTGAAATGATAAACAAACAAAAAATGGCAAACAACAATTTTGTGAATTTTACCAATTGGGTTTTACTCATAGAGCCACTACCTAAACATGTTCTTCTCACCATTCTTACCAGCCGTATGACATTACTGCACTGCTTCTTCTATTAGGTTGTGTTTTTGGCCAATAACCATGTTGTGAAGTTGAAATGACGAGAGAGGAGACAAGATTGGATGCCTGTGGCTGTGAACAGTGTTGGACCTTGAGTCATTGTCACACACACTATTACCGCTCTGTATCTCAGGGTGACTCAGCCCATGGCATCTTGGGAATTGGCCCTGCCTACTTTTAATTTCTATCGCCTAATTCACTGAAGACGCACTCACTTGATTTTAAATGGCAGCCTGTCACAAAGCCTCTTGTTACTACTATTTTAGTCCTATTTAGTAAAGGCAAAACTATTAGTCTTGATGGAATAGACGAAATATGTGCAATCATCTTGCACATATTTGGTTATTCTCTAATCAAAATAATACAAATAAAATGTGTCTGTTTGTAAAAGGCAAGATTAATCTTATTAGCCATTGTCCTCATTTAGAACTGGTCTTGCTTTACAGCAGTGTCAAACTCATTTTGGGTGTGGGATGACTGTAAAAAGTAGTAGCATAATGGGGGCCGAAACTATAGAAGTGTTATAGTATTTAAAAGATATATATTTTATATTATTTTTAGGGTTGTCAAAAGTTGCGTTAACGCACGTTAATAGATTGTTTTCATTAATCGCGTTAAAATATTAACGCATTTGACGCATGTCCGAATGACCCGCCCATGCATCCCATAATAACACTCAGAATGCCGCGGATACATCCGTGTGTAGATGGCGACAGAGAAGATAGGCCCTCTGGGTATTAAAGTTTTAAAAGAATAAGCGCGTGACTGCGGGGCACTTGCTGTTGTTTGCTATGAACTCGAACGGGAGTCCGCCTCCTCCGTGACAGCAGCGTTCTGACCCGGGGCAGCTGTGGCTGCTCTGGACAGCGGTTCCCACCTCCAGCAGTTGTGAGCCTCTAACAACAACACGGCGAACGGCGCAGCGGTAATGTGGTCATATCCAGACCATACACGCACAGAACTATTGTCTGCATGTTGTGTACGTGTCTTTGCGTAACCCGTGCATGCAAAAAAATACACTGCTGAAGCTGCACAATGGAGCCTCAGGAAGTGTCCGTGTCTCCCTTGTTTCTTCTCCCGAAACGCAACTAAACTCGCTAAACTAAAGCTGGGGTAGGTAAATGTTCCCTTGCAATAACAGCTCATGTTGGTTGTGCCCAAAAGTAAAAGGTTGTGAGCAAATCAAACACATTTAATGACATTCTGCATTTCAGACTGTTTTGTCCCTCATCCCTGTAACAAACAATAGTTTTGGTCTGAGTCACTACAGAAAGACAGAATGTTAATAATGTTAATTGTAACAACCAATTGCAATGGTGAGTTACTGAACATATCGGTAATATAGTAACTTTCCTTGTAAAATAGGAATATAATTAAGACTACTCAGAAAAATAAGTTCTCTCTGGGAGGAAATGATGAAATACATGGACAACTGTGGTGCTAGCAAAATATTTGTGTTATTTAGAGTTGCAAAGAAGGGGTAATTACAATATGAACAGGCCCAAAACAACAAACAACCGCTCTGCCCATCCACTGAGTTCACACTCAGAGTCCGATATGGTCTCTTAGTCCAAGAGAAAAACAGTTCTATGGTTTTTGTCCATATGAAGGAACTATAGCTCCACGGAAAAACCCACGTAATGTTGGAGGTGGTGGGAGTGAGCGAGTGTCTACAGCGTGTCTTACCGCAGCAGAAGGGAAGGAAGTGAAAGCCATTTTATGTGGATTTATTGTTGTTTTAATAAGCACATACAATACATATGTACACTTTGTTGTCATTTATCTTTTAATTCAAACAACCATTTACAGAAAAATATGGAATCATTTTGCCAATAGTTTGATGGTCTTTGTTTCTGCTGTAATTTACTATCCTGACGATGTGTAAAATGCACAAGTGACCGAAATAAAATAAAAAGACTAAAGACTAAAAGGTCTTTTGCAGACTCCAAAAAAAAATGCGATTATCCATCCATCCATCCATTTTCTTCCCCTTAATCCATTTCTGGGTTGGAGGGGTGGCAGTCAGAGCTGCAACCAGTCCACATAGCACCAGCCCCAAAATGCGATTAATTATGATTAATTATTTTTTAAGCTGTAATTAACTCAATTAAACATTCGAATTATTTTGTTATACATTATAATTTATACAAGTTAGAAATTTACCAAAATTGGTTCAGTTATAATTACAAAGGGATTAGCTATAAACACGTTGTCATAAAGTCTACACACAAGTCATCTTTATTTATATAGCGCCTTTCACAGACAGAGCGACAAAGAACTTTACATTTCTTGTGGGCATTTGTCCAAGAGGCGCATGCTGGACCTATTGTCCCCTTTTTCAGTGGAAGGGGAAACCGGAGCACCTGGAAGAAAACCTACGCAGACACTTGAACATGCAAAGTCCTCACAGAAAGCCTTCCCTAATCTCATTCACCTCTCATGTTTTCCTATATCATGCAGGAAATCACTACTCTCCTCCCCTTTTCGGGCATCTCTCTGGACATTTTGCCGGACAGCAGTGACCTGGGAGCAGACCTTAGCGACTACATCCACCACCGCGTCAACAACAGTGCTCGAGTCGCCTCAAACGTCACCACTGCTACAGGCACCGCCCCTGACCCACTCCTGCTCAGTAAATTCAGCAGCCACCTGTCGTCAAGGAGCAACGGGTCCGTCCTGTACCTGGAGCTCACTCTAGACCTGTTTCATAAAGGACACCTGGCCATTAAAGGAGGAAGCTACCTTGCCGTGCCTGTTTCGCTGTCAGAGGTGAGTTTAATAATTGAAAATAGAATACAGTTCAGCGTTGGGATTGTAACTCTATCCATAGTGGGTAGAGTGCATTTATTTTATATTGAGCATATTTTCATTTGGTAGTTTACGTAATGTCAACCAAAAAAACAAAAACACTCAGGGTAACTGGGTGCAATGGATGCATGGTAACAGTTCCAGCATGGTTTGTATTGTGACTGGATATATTCCAAAAGTGAATGTATAGACAATACTTTGTTCATTAAAACTTAGATCATCATATAAACCTGGGCCCCTCTCTATTGCGGAGAGAAGTTGTTATGGTCATACTGCAGTTTAAATGTTTTAATAGGCAATTATTTACTCATAAAAGTCCCTCTGAGATTTCAGAATTTCTTTTTCAGGGGAGTCCTAGTCCCAGAGAGGGTGGGGTGTGGTGGTGGGGGGAGTTCTGCACCCTCTGGGCCAAGAAGATCTTTTTTTGTGAGATCAAACAGCCAGTATTCAGCTGACGGCACACACAGCTACAGCTTTCACAATGGTTTGGAAGAAATTCTAGTCCATCTTAGTTGTTAGAGTTCCAAAAAGATATTCCCTTTAACAACTAAAAGTTGCTGAATGTAAACGAAACCAGCACTACCTGCTGCTTACCTTTGATTGGTCAGAGCTGATCACATGACACAGTTTTGTTGTTACCACTGTCCTCATGTGGTGGGCTTCCCTTCGTAAATAAGCATTTTTAATCACAAACGAATGTTCACCATCTTATACTCATCGGCCAGACATTAAACCCATGACATCATGCTGTGAATATTTGTAATAGCTTACAGAATTCAAACATTAATATCAATATGCAGTGCTGAACTCTGATTTGAATGGTTTTGATCGGCAGGACATGTGCATGACAGATCAGTTTTCAAATGCTTGACAAAAATGCTTTCTATTTTACTATTTTTGTCTTTTGCATTATACAACCCCCAATGGTTTTTATCAAGAATGTTCAAGCCTCCACTAGTTAGACAATTATACCATCATAACAACAACTCAATAAATCAATAAATTGATAAATCAGCTCCATATCTCATGGAAAGTATTGAACATGTATATCACTGCAGTGCGTGCCTGCGTGTGTGTGTGCGTGCATGTGTGTGTGTACAAATTCCCCTCGTAACCATGTGTCATCCTGAAGAGCTATGTGCTGTGAAATTACTTTTTACCCCTGTCTAAAGGCAATCAATGTCCGTAAAATTGCCACAAAGGTCCACAAGTGACAACCGGTGGTCACGCCTGTATTTCTCAAATAAAAACCATAAGACCAGGTGCTGTTTCCAGATGACATCACTAAAAGATTAAATGGTCACATCAAGTGGTATTTAAAAGCTGACCCAAGTAGCACACAGTTACAGGAGTAAAACTGACAGCTATTGTGTTTTTGTTGTTCAGAGGCTAAACACCATGCATAGGATATTGTGTGTTTGAACAAATTACCATTCGACATTTAAAACAACAATGTTTGAAGGAATGTTGAATTATGAATTGAATTGATTCTGTGTAGAATGGGCCCCAGTAAGACCGGAAAACACTTGTGGAAGCGAATGGGGATTCAAATGAATAGATACAACATTTGATTTAGCTTTTGTTCTCAACAGGAATGGAACTGCTTACTGATTGGCTTTGTGTGTGTTTTAAGGCTTATCTGCTGATGTGCCGTGAGCGCTTCCCGGACAAAGAGGCATTTGAACGCGTTGTTCCGGTGCTGAACGTGGCGCTGGCGTCTCTGCACCCTCTGACTGACGAGCAAATGTTCAGAGCACTCAACGCAGGCAGTGTGAGCGGGGATCTGGAGTGGACGGACTTTCAACAGAGATTGGAAAGTCTGGCTGGATTCATGGTGAGGCTATTAGACTCATTTAAATTATTAGGTCATCATTGCGTTCAGAAGATCCTTACTGGGGATTTCATCTTTAGATCAGCTTATTCAGACAGAAATGTGAAAAAGAGAGGACCACCCTCACTCAGCCAATCAGCACTCATATAGTGACTCATAGGGCTCTGGTATGCAATCAATGACATGTTTTCTATTAAGAGGACAAGAAGGCTGCATGTCGTGGTCTGATTTGTTCACAAAGTTTACTTTTACAACAGTTACATGTTGGTTTTAGGTACCCTAGCTTTAAGATTATCACCGTTACCATATCGTCTCATTGTTCAATATCACTTGAGGCTCATTATTTATTGTCCATACATTTTCTTCGCAATAATTCTTCAATTTCCAAATTTTACCAGTAGAGGGTCAAATACTGCTATTGACTGGTTATTGGCTCTGTCTGCTATTTATTTTTGCAATGTGCAATACTGTAGTAATGTAAGAGTAGTTTAGTTATGTGGCATGTACATCTTATTTATCTTATTTATCAAGGGATTATTATAGGGTGAGTCTTTGTATGTTCAAGGTTCACCTTTATTTTCCCTGAAATTTGTCTTAGGCCCACAGTGCTGTTGGACACAAACACACCAGACACTCTCATCATCAGGACAATCGGCTCGTCTGCACAATTTCTGTACTTAAATATGTCAATGGCAACTTAATTTCAATTGCCCATTTACAACAACACCAGCAACCCAAAGTGCTCCTCATGCACAAAATAAAAAAGAGTATAAAACAGACTTAAATACACACAAAACATGTTGGTGTTGAAAGCCAAGGCTTACAAATGTGTCTTAAGACTAGATTTAAAAGTCTCTAATGCCAGTGAAAGACATACAATGTCTAAAGTATAAAAAAAAATCAAAATTGCACTGAAGAAATAATAATTAATTCATCTTGTTTTGAGCTCATTTTTCTCATTGTATTGCTACTCTCTGTAAGGTGCACTGCAAGGCAAAACTTGGATTCATATCTGTGTTTATTTCTTTATCTCTAGCAATGTATCATCCATATTTATTTTTTACATTGTGACAGATTTAGTCCAGTTTAGATAAATCCCTTTTTCATGTTTGTGTTCTCCCCTCCACTGTGTAGGTGCGGCGGCGGGACGGCACGCGTATGCTGTGTCACCCGTCCTTCAGAGAGTGGTTAGTTTGGAGAGCAGACGGAGAGAGCAACGACTTCCTCTGTGACCCGAGGTAGGACAGGTCACAGAACACATCAGCCTGAGCACATGTGTGCGACTCCATACTGTGCATGCTTCACAGCCGCATAGCAGGAGATGACTTTATGCTTCATGTCTGCAGGAGTGGCCATGCGCTGCTGGCCTTCATGTTCTCTCGACAGGAAGTTAAACTCAACCGGCAGCAGACAATGGAGCTCGGACACCATATACTCAAGGCTCACATATTTAAGGTAACTCCTATTTTAGTTCTACTTGTCATTCTATGTGTTTGAACAGGCTGGAGAGATGCATAGTAATAAGAGGTCTGAGCGATATATATTGGTTGGCATTGATAGTGGCTGATTGTATTGATATTATAACTACAGTATTGGTGTAATATTAAAAAAAAAAAAACAATCCAAGTCTCCATCAGTGGGGAGGTCAGAGAATTTGTCTGTTTGTTTGTTTGTGCCATAACTCAAAAGGAACATTTTGGAGTTGTTCTGGGTATTCTTCGGCTTTGTGCTTTACATACATGTAGTAACGTCTGTGTAACTTAAGTATTTAGTGTTTGAAGTCAGATGTTTGATCCCATTCATGAGCCGAACAGGGCTGCCTTTGAACCAGGACTGGTCCCGGTCTTAACCAGGTATCAACCAGTATGGATCCACTGTGCACACACACACGAGCGCATGCAGACACACAAGCACACACAGACAACATTTCCCACTGAGAACAATGTTTTTGCAGTAGAACTGATTCGTACCATCGCTCCTGGGGTTCTCCGCTTTGTGCCGCAATGTACAAATAGATATGTAACAAAAAAATGTACTTGCAATAATATTAGTAGAAAGTTGTTGCCCATTTCTTTTCGGATTTCAAAACAGTTTTTTGTATAAATTAAGAGTCAACATTTGTGCATAATGGCTTAGAGTCAACCGACTAATTGACTAAGCAATGAAAATGTATTACGCCCATTAAATCAACCCCCAATTTGCCACGAGATGATTTTCAGATTACTGTTACCTTATTATTACAGAATTTCTATTTATTACATTTTGATTCATAAACTATTTCAGGTCACATAACACACATTCCGTAAGATGGTTTAATGCTTCAAATTATTGCCCTTAAAAAAATGTATGAAGTGGGGGTTACGTCTTGGTCACTTGACACAGTGCTGCTAAAAACAAATGTACGCACGAGGGCTGAGTGCGTGAAGCTGACATGTAAACAAAGTTTGCGTTCTGAAACGGCACGTGGTGCACGGAGGATGAAGTTCTACAAACGCAGTGAGAAGAGACAGAGGAAGGGGACGTCTTTGGTGATGATCAGAGGAGCCAGGACATATACATAGTTGTGGCAGAACTGTGGCTAAAAGTTCATAAAAAACAACATTAAAACTCGTTGATAAACGGTATTCTGGCAATTGTTTTGCGGGGATTCTGTGTGTTTTGCATATTTGATGCTTGTCCCTGAATGACTTTAGTTGAAACTTGTGACATAGTAGTTGGACATCCTGAGACCAGTGTTGCGGATTCTGCCTTGTTCTCATTACTGTCGGTGTGAAGACAGTTACTGTTGGTGTGAAGACAGTTTCTGTCGGTGTGAAGACAGTTTCTGTCGGTGTGAAGACAGTTTCTGTCGGTGTGAAGACAGTTATTGTCGGTGAAGAAAGTTCCGTATATTGTTTACGTGTGCACATGCCGAGTACAAACTACAGCAATGTGCCTCCTGTTGTTTTAACTCGGTGCGTGTGGTTTGCAATGTTGACATGTTTGCGGTTATGACGCAGGTTTCTAGATTTTTGCATAATTATTTTTGTTACAATCCTACAGTTGAGCTCATAGGGGAAGATGAATGTAACATACAAAACCAAGATGTAAGTAAGTGAGTAAGTAATCTTTATTTATATACCGCCTTTCACAGACCAGAGTCACAAAGCGGTTTACAATTGTTATTTTATGATGTATAATGGTTAATTAACTGGCCTTTAATAAAATAGGAAAAAGAGGGTAACAAATTGTACAGGACCTCTTCTGAGTCAAACAAAAACACAGGATTCTCAATTCAACTAAAACAAAGCACAAACACAGAGCCACAAAGGCAATCTTAATTTCTAATCTTTAGCACACAGTGACACGTTCTCTCAGAACGGTGACAGACAAGACACTGATTCAAGCCGCCCCGCACATAGGGAGCAGCCTGGTTTTTAGGGCTGGTGCTGATTATTAGCTGCAGCAACGGATTGGCCACACGTGGAGAGCGCGATCCAATCTCAGAACCGAGGGAGTAGACTGGGAGACAGCGCGTGTAACTGGCGCACCATGCAGCAGGGCGGAGCTTGGGCAGTACAGCAGCACAACACACAGGAGGGAGGGAAGTGGGTACAGCGCGGCCCAGTGCCAGCGGCCGTAACAATATTCCTTAACAAAGATTCTTGTTTGTGTTGTTCTTTTACATAACTGTGTTCCACCATGGTACCTTCAAACTTGTGAGGGCACAGTAGAAGCAACGTTACTAGTAGCACCTGTGAAACAAAAAACACAATTTTCACATCCTTTTTGTCCCTTATCAACCAATCTATTTAAAGATGGCACATTGACATGGATAGTACTCAGCTCTCATGGACATTTATAATTCAAATTTTAAGTCTATGACAAAAAATGACAAAAAAAAACATGGTGGAGGTGAATATTTTAATATATGTCTATGATATACAAAGGTCACAGAAGTTATTGGTTAACATGTTTTTTTTATTTTGAGCAACTGTAAACAATTACACAGAGTACCTTTAAAGAAAAATTTGACACAAGACTGCTGAGTAATCTGCTTATCAGAGATTCAGCAAAGAACAAAGTAAGTCAAATCAGAGGAAGTGGCTCATGGCGTCTCATGGATAGAATATAAATGGCTCAAACATGCAGGAATCTCTCTGAAGCAACCACCACATCCACAACATGAGCTCGTGGATCTAGGACACTTTCTGTTCAGCGACCTGGCTTCACACAAACATTTTACTTACATATTTAGTAGTCTTCCATCTCTCATTAAGATTCAGGGCTCCCCTTTTTGTCTGTTTCACATCATATTTCTGATTTTTAAAAAAGCTGCTCCCTAAAGGGCTAACTTCTCCAGTGCATAATCTATGTGCAATAATTCAAACGCAATCTCTCGCTGTGTTGAAAGGTTATCAAAAGGCTAAAACACTGTATAATATGGATTTACATTAAACAATATACAACTGAAGTTCTACATAACAACAGCAAAAAGTTAGATTCTCATGTGGTTTTGCAGTTGGCCCTGAAGCATCAACAAAGGGCAGGAATAAGTCGCACAAACTACTTTATTTTATACATTTAGAAGCAACGGCTGCATAGGTTTTGAATTATCCACAAGCAGAGATTTTCGGAGCAGAAACTGAAGTTCATGTTTAAGTTCATAAGTCTAAGATTTTCTTTGTGTAAGAATATGACATGTTGTTTTGTTTTTTCTTTTATTATAATATCAGAAATATATCATATTTACATATGATGCTCAATATGGAGCTGGATAAAGTAAAATTATACAATGTCAGTTTCTTTATATGTAGAATCAATCAATCAAAAATGTTTATTCAGAACATGTACAACACAAACCTATACTTCATTATAAACTGTATATTGTTTCTTTTTATTCATTAATTTGTGTGTTTGTCACGCCTGTGTGCACTTGGGAAAGCAATCAGCAGTGAGACAGTGAAAATAGTTTCTCTTGCCCTGGGATCACTTCAAAAGCTTCCTGAAAAAAAAAAAATAGCTTCCTCCCTTAACTTTTTGAGTTCTAACAGGGGATAATTAGCAATCCGGTTGTAATATGTCACAATTTTCTCTTGAGATTTCATGAAGTGAAAAATATATGTATCAAATTATCTTTCATTAATTGATGGATGCTTTTATTTAACAGGCTGTATATGTTTCGTAATTATTATTATTATGATTTTTGTTATTTTCTTTTTTAATAAGAGTGTTGAAAATGTCACTTTTTATGTCATAATTGGTTTAAACTCAGTTTCAACAACAAAGGCAATTTACTTATGGTTTAATGGTGGACTGAAATTGCATCGTTGGCATAAAGTAATCTCATTATACTGTGAACTCCATGTCTGTTTCCATCAATATTTGCAATCGTGACAATTCTATTCAGAGACTTGACCTCATTCTTAGGTTCTTCATAATCTCTTTAATGAATTTTGTGACCAAGCACTTCTGCATATGAGGAGTTAATCAACGCCTTGTCTCTCCCTCTCCCTCCCAGGGCCTGAGTAAGAAGACCGGGGTGTCGTCCAGTGTCCTTCAGGCCGTGTGGGTGAACTGGAGCACAGACAGCCTCTCCGCAGCGTTGGCCTCCCTCAGAAACCTCTACACACCGAACATCAAGGTGACACACACCTGCACCGCACTGGGTCAAGGAGGAAAGGGCTATAGTCGCAGCAATTATGCCATTAATTATTTATAAGATGGTCATTGTGTCTATTCAGAGCTTGACAAAATGAGTATTTCCCCCCATATTAACCAATCTCAATTCCAATAACTTTTTTGTTTTTAAAAAGAAAACAAAATAACACATTCTTTGCTGTATTGACAACCCTTTCCAACCTGTGAGGGCACACAAGTTTATCCCCTCTTTAGCCCCTACTACTTACTGCATCTTACTACCACTTATCTGGAGATAGGTCCCGGGCGCAGCACTGTGTCAATCACTGCTTCTGACAGAGGCCTATAGCGGGAATGAAGGATGCGTCAAATGCAGAAAACAAATATCGCTACAGGGACAATAAATTAGAACTAACTAACTATCTACTGTATGTGTATTTCAATTTAAAATCAGGTATCAATAATCATGATCTTCCAAAATTCAGATTATAATTTTTTAATTTTTGGCACATCTCTGTCTTGAGTTGTAGTTTATATATTGCACTTTCTTCTGCTATCTATGTATAATCAATGAAAAACTGACAAAATGTAAGTTATAGTGAAAATGAAGATGGACCTACTTTTAAGTTGATGATAATGTAATTTAAACAGGCCAGGCAGTCCATGTAACTGTATGTGGGTCTTTGTATTTGCCCCATCATATAAAACCATTGTAAACATTGACATTCCTGATTTATGAAGATAATGACCGAACACACTGTTATGACGTTTGCCTTTGATCAGTAAACAGATGTAGGTTTATCAACACATACTGTACATTACAAGTTAATAATGCATCGGTTTTATATAGCGCTTTTTTGGACACTCAAAGACGCTTTACATGTCAAAGGCCAATGCTCTACCAACTGAGCTACTGTCGCCTTGAATGGCTGTTCATTCCACAGGTGAGTCGTCTGTTGATGCTGGGGGGCGCGAGTGTGACCTGGTGCACAGAGGTGGTGGGCCATGCTCCGATCTTGGCCATTCATGCCAATCTGGGACATTTAGAGATGGTGGCGCTGCTGCTGGAGATGGGAGCTCCGGTGGATGGGACCACAGACAGCGGGATGACCTCTCTGTGTTTAGCTGCCTCTGCGGGACACACCGACATAGTAATCCTCCTCTGCAAGAAAGGAGCAAAGGTCAGTGATTTCAAGAATAGGATTATACTTTTAGGATTAAGCTTTAGAAAAAATAGGTTACATTTTTTACACGATTTGACATGGAATTGAGCTGTTACAGCTTAGATTTAAAAAAGCAAGTTAAATGACTTCCTGTTGTCCCGGTAGTCACAATTGTAAATGTGACCACCTCCTTTTTGTAGCAATCAATGTTTTTGTTGAAAAATGGCTACTTGACTTTTTTCAATTCACTTAACATAAATTACCAACATTGTTTGGAATTAATCCTTGAGGTGAATCCTTGAAGTTTATTTTCAAAGACCCATGCTCACCTCTGCTGCCTCCCGATTGGTCAAAATTGATTCACATCCTTGAGATCTCTTTGGTCATTTGTTAAACTATTAGTTAGGCCGAGCAAAGGGACTGTTTTAAAAATATATTATTCTTGGGAAATATTATATAATATTATTATTATAATAGTAAGTAATAGTAGAATGTTCCATGTTCAGAAATATAAATTGTTTTGAAATTGAATAATAATTGCTTACATCTCGTTTCTGCTCCGGTTTCCTTCAGTTTCTCCGGTTTCTCATACCACTAAAAAACATGTACAATGTACCCGTAACACCCTCCCCGTCTCCAGTCCCGCCACCTCTCTCCGGGACCAGGACTCCCCTGAAAAAGAGATTCTTCAGTGGGACTTTGCATTGTGTTTGAGCAATATGAAAAACATAATAAACATGCCAATTACACAGAAAAAATATACCATAAAATCCTACTGTTCTTTGTAAGTAACTTGAAATCCAACTTCAAACTCCAAACCTTAAACACTACAGACCATTTTCTACTGTAACGTGTCCTCACTGATTTCCCGAAAAGGCCTGATTTCTCTGTGTCTATTTCCGGACACAGCCATGAGGAGTTGTAATATAGGCCAGTGCATTTCAGTGTCCAGCAGAGGTGTGATGTCCCCGTGTGGTCCGTGTGTGTGGCAGGTGGGACACTCCGATAAGAGCGGGCAGTGTGCGCTCGTTCATGCCGCTCTTAAAGGTCACGCGGAGATTGTGGACATCCTGCTGGGACAAGACTGGGGACCTGACAGCCCTCCCGAAACAGAGCCGCACCCCAACAACGAGAGCTCCATTGGGAAGAAGCAGGCCACACAACAGGCACTCACGGCTGCTGCGAGCCTGGGACACATACAGGTGCTATTTAATGACAATGTAGATAAGTGGTTACCTCCCTTTTTATCACAGAAACCCCTATTTTATTTCACTCCTGCAAAACACAATTTCCAATATTTTCACACTAAAGCAGGTTGGATGAAGCAGATGCTTATTTTTTTCCAACCCCATTCAACACACACAATAACACACAGATTAGAATTATGATACTGTGCCGTCAATACAATACCCTACCAGGTAGATGGGTGGTCTTTAAACCGTACTGTTTTGACGACTCACTCAACTAATAGCATTGTCCTACTTAAGAAGCTACGGCTATGGCTGCGGTCACACTTGTTGCTTCGGTTCACTTTATCTGCCTCCATTCTGGTTCGCTCGGGGAAAATGTCAGTTTGTGTATTTTGGATTGGATTGGATTTTGTTTTGGTTGATTGTTTGCTTGACTAGTGCCAGATGTTCTATTCACTGAATGTATTACACCCAAAAACGATCGGCCTAAAGCAATCTGCTTATATAGTATAAGTCCTTCACATCACATACAGTGTATTTGCTATTCCATTACAAAAACTGTGACAAAAAAAATAATAAAATAGGTATTACAAACTGATTTCAACTCAAAGAACATATCCTCTCGAAAAGCATATTTTCTTTCATATGGTTCAACTCCTTTTCTTTTTAAGGAAACATAGTATATGAATGAAGTATTTTCAAATGTTGATCATGTTTTATTTGCTTTAGGATCATTAAAAATGTTTACTCCAATAACAGTCAATTATATTTTGGTAATAGTTCTGCCTTTTCTTGTTTCAAACAGAAGCAAACTTCTCAGATTATAGCGACTAACCCTTATTTTTAAGAAATATCAAACACATGTTTTGATATCTTTGTTTTACATGTGTCACATAAATCACAGATTTAAGTAACACAAATCTTACCAGTGATCACATGTGCACTTGTTTTATGGTTTTACATAAATAAAATTACCAATTTCTACCTCATGTAAACCAGAATTGGTCCAGAAGTAAAGGGAACCATACACTGTAATAAGTGAATCAGACCAAACTTTGATGTAAAATATTTTAAGTAATTACTACATACTTCATTTTCCACTATTCTATATTTTTGGTTAACAAATAAGTACTGTATATTATCATAGCGCCCTGTACAATACTGATTTTATTGCTTTAAGTGAAAATACTTTAAATATTTCTTCTATAAGCCTGGTGTCATTAATGACAAAACAAATATATTGTGTTGATTGAAAACAAAATGTGGCGAAGCAGTGATGCTACCCAGAATGCATTGCAGAGAAAAATATAAACTTCTTAAAAATTCTACATTTGAGCATTGATTTTAAGAGTGAATATGAAGCAAGTCCTAAAGCAAAATACTTGAGCAACATTTTGAATAAACTAATTTGATCAAGTAAGTAATTGTATTTATTTTTACCAACCGTGATCGACAGGGCCAAGCCAAACTACCCCTATACTCCCTGGGTTCAAATCAGACATCAGATACTACAGAATGGTCATGATGCTTGCTTAAATCAAGTCCTAAACAGGTTGCAAGCACATTTACTCCCCAGCATGAGAGTTACAGAGTTCAGAAGCACACAATGTAAGGATTACAAAAACTAACAAACTTTCTCCAGGTGGAAGAAAGTTTCATTATGAATGAATACAAAAATATTGAGTATATTGATCATCTCCAAGTTAGTTTTGCTTTGAAAGGACACACATATTTTAAGTAAATCCATCACTTCAAAGTAATACTTTTGCTTTCTGTCAAATTGAATTTAATATTCTTTATTACTTAATAAAGAGCTAAAGTTGATAGTACTCAAAAAGGCCGATGGAACCTCTTACAGAATATTTTTTGTTTCTGATTAAAGCAACACTTTTTACAGTGTAGTGTGTGCTGCTCTGAGTAAGTAACAACTACAACATGGTTTTAAAGTGGTAATAATAAAAATAATCATATTGTATGTTATGTAACAACATTAAGTGATCTTTTTCATATAGCATCTTTCACAGTCACAATGCGCTTTACAAGTTAGTAGTAAAAGTAGTTTGGACCTCTTTTGGCAAACCAAAATGTTTGTAGTATTAAGTAATGAATTACAATAAACCTAGATCATTACCAGGCCTAGTATTTTGTTGCCCTCGAGCACACGCTAGTATACACAAACACATTTTGCAATCCAATTTTTGTCTTTGAACTATACCACTATCCAACAACATCAATCCCAGGATACTCTTCCTGTGATATTCAGTTGACGATTTCCATGTTCCCCCCATGTCCATAGCTTATCTACAGTGTATGTCTCCATCTCTTTGTATGTCAAACTAAAAGTATATCTCAATAATTACAAACCAGAGACCATACCTTTTAAATCCATCATTATGTATTAAGTCCACAGATTTGAAAGTGTGCAATGGGAGCTAATGCACTGTCTCCCGCAGGTTGTGAGGAGCCTTCTGGACTTGAAAGACGAACAGCTGGCGGTGCAGATGGACGCTCACGACTCTCTCTGGGGAGAAACTGGTGCGCGCCTCCTCCTCTCCTCCTTTTCTGTCTTCGCTTACTCTTGACTTCTTCCCCTAGTGAAGGAGTCCCTGCAAAAAATAACACAAATATGGGATTAAAAATGTTGAGATATGCCAATAGAACAACAGCAGTAGTCTTGTAAGCGCAACACCATATGTTTCTCGTTTCAATTCAGATCGGATTTCATTGAAAAATCCTGTTTCAAGTTAAGATTCATATTATCATATTAACCTATAATAATAGTAAAAATGCACACTCAAAGACAGTGATGATGAACTACTACTGTAGCCACAGCTGCCCCGGGTCAGAGAGATAAAAGCGAGTCAACCTGTTTCTGCCATCGACCCCTGCGACCACCAGCATTCATTTATGTTGTTTTCAGAAAATTGGAATTTCTGAAAAAGCAGGCTTCTTTTAGACAATAAAATAGTGATGAAATCAAAATTGAGATTTCGCTTTAAGGAAACCCTGGTGTTCATTATTTTCAAAATGTCCCCCCCTTGTTTTCAGAACAGTAGGTGAATAGCAATGAACAGACTGCTACACAATAAGAACAGTTGAACCAACATCCCCATGGTTCTCAGCCCAATAGCCATGAGAAAAAGATAAAAGCATTAAAATGGACATATAATCTTAAAAAATACACATCCAGTGTGTAAAGTAGAAATGACAAGAGGGCCCCAAAACTATTTCCACTTCTTCACTTTTTGTCATTCTGCTCCTGTCCTTGGTCTCATTCACAGATCTCTGCTCCTTCTCTGCTGTTCCAGATAAATTTAGCTCCTTCACCTCTTTCTGTCCATCACACCACTTCACATGTCACGCTCCAGGGGGCCGCAGCCTCTGTTCAGACACGTGGATTTTTATGCTTTGTAAACTTTGGTAAAAATGCACTTCTATAGACACAGTTTCTACCTCGTCACCATTATCATGCATTTTTGAAGGAAATTCCTGGTCTTTCTGTAATGTAAAACACATATAGGATAATATACTGCAAGATCAACTGAAAAAATATCAATCACAATAGAAACACATTATGAGATAGTCATTTATGTGACTTTTCACCACAATGCAAAGCCTGTATGGCTTCAATCTGGGGAGACTCCAACAGACAAAACATGCGTATTAGAATTGTATATTGGCTGGAACGTAATTTGATCATCAGTCAACATCAATTATGACATTTGACTCTGAAGACAATATTTTCAAGATTACATTTATTGTGCTGTTGGGCTTAGACCCCGGCAGAGCACTGCACGATTGCAGAAGGGGAAAGAGATTATGAGATGAAATCCCCCGGGGCCTAGACCCTGGTGGTGGTAGCTAGGAGAAGGATGAAGGAGCTGGCCTAGAACAAGGCAGAGATGGGGAGGAGGAGGGTTGCGGCGTGAATGAAGCTGCTGCTTGGATGGGGCTTCTGCATGATATGAAGCTGATGTGGGCAGTGTCAGATTACTGCAGGTGAGGATTTGCGTGTGGCGCTGCAGCTGAGTTTGATTGACTGATTGCTGTTGCTGTGGGCAACAGTGGAAGGACTTTGAGCGGTGTGAGCTTAGTTCTCCTGTCTTCCAGTCTGAACATCCGCTTTAGCTTCATTTATATCACTTAACTTTTCAGTTTAATGAGTTTAATGGTTTTACCAATCCATCGTACTATTTTCATGGGAAATGATACCCATTACCAGCTCTAAATGGAGTGGGGGAAAAATCATACATAATTTACCTTTTTTATGGACACAAATTAGATAAAGTATTTTATTCACAATATCTCTTGATAAAAGATATACCCTTGTATCTGAATCAATGAGTTCTTTCCTAGTTTTCTTCAAAGGTCTTTGTGTAAATGTACAATTTCAAAACATTTTTGCCAAAATGCAGCATCTTGTTATCACAAGCCACATAAGCAGCTTAGAAGCAATTAGTTTTGCATTTCGGTTTTCCTGAAAGCGTGTTAAGTATTTATGAATTGCATTTTTGTTCAGGGACTGGACACAGTTGTTATGGTAATGAATCGCCCTAACCTTTCCTGTTTGTATCGAAAGATGCTACAGCTACTATAATACTCAGCGCTGTACGACGCTACGTTGTGACTACAAGCTGAGGCAGCCTGCTCTCAAGAGAATGACTGATAAATTATCTAGATGACACTTGGAGACAAGCCACAATCCTTAACTTAATTCCATGAAACAGTAGACAGGGACATGGGCTTGTCAGTATCGAATATTATCTCAAAGGTGTACACTCCATACTGTACTGTATGTATCTATATTTTTTGGGATCTTTGGGAATGCCTCCAGATTAGCAGGAGGAAGTGTGTGTGGATAGTTTTTGTAATTTGTTTATTTGCTTGCTGAGGGACTGGATGAAAAATAGCTTTGTAGCTATAATCCAGAATATTTACATTTATTATATAATGTTCATCAATGTAAGTAAGTAATCTTTATTTATATTGCGCCTTTCACAGACGAGAGTCACAAAGCGCTTTACAATTGTTGTGGACATTTGTCTCTCACTGCACACAGAGATGGGCGTGAGGTGCATTGTTCCAATAAAATTGTTCCTATGAAATAGGGAGGTTTGGGTGCCTCTGCTTAGACTGCTGCCCCCACGACTATGCAATGGATAAAGTAGAAGACGGATATTCCCTTTGTTTACTATTATAATTATTCTTATACTATTATAATTATTATTAATTATATCTTTACATGCTGCCGTTAGGTCAGTTAATACGCAGAAACAAAGTGTCCTATCACAACTATGCAGACGACACTCAGATCTATGTCTCACTGACTGCAGGAGAACATGGACCAGTGGACTCACTCCTTCACTGTATCCAACAGATCAGTGAGTGGATGCAAAACAACTTCCTTCAGCTAAACGCAGACAAAACAGAAATTATTGTTTTTGGTCCCCAGAAACAAAGAGAGAGCGTCATCTGTCACCTACAGTCTCTCTCCCTAAAACCTTCAAACAAGGTCAGAAATCTAGGGGTAATACTGGACTCAGACTTAAATTTTATTAGCCACATCAAATCAGTAACATCAGCAGCTTTTTACCATCTAAAAAACATTGCCAGGATCAAAAACATAGTGTCTAAAGCAGACTTGGAGATTCTTATCCATGCATTTGTCTCCAGTAGGTTAGACTACTGCAATGGCCTGCTCACAGGTCTGTCCAAACAGGCTGTAAAACAGCTGCAGTACATTCAAAATGCAGCAGCTCGAGTCCTGACTAGAACCAGGAAGTACAACCACATTAGTCCAGTCCTCAGGTCTCTGCACTGGCTTCCTGTGGCTCAGAGAATAGACTTTAAAACAGCTCTGCTTGTGTACAAATCTCTCCATAGCCTCGCACCATAATATATTAGTGACATGTTAGTCCCATATGAACCAGCCCGGACTCTGAGGAGCACAGGGACTGGACTCCTGTTAGTGCCCAGAGTCAGAACTAAACATGGGGAGGCTGCTTTTCAGATTCATGCTGCTAAAATCTGGAACAGTCTTCCTGAAGATGTGAGACAGGCCTCCTCTCTGACAATGTTTAAAACCAGTTTAAAAACAGTTCTGTTTAGCTGTGCATACAACTGAGGGATTTTATATTTGTATCTTTCTTTTTAATGTTCTGTGTTTGTTTTTTTTTAAACAAAGCTCTTAGGATTGTTAATGACTCTTCTGGCCACCCTGGGAAAGCCATGTTCCAGCTTCTTCCCTCTGGCAGAAGATATCGCTCTCTGAGATGCAGGACATCTCGTTACGCTTACAGTTTTTATCCACAAGCTGTTATCAGTGTGAACAGAGCACTTTAATGATTTGCACTTGTTTTGAAACTGTTTTAGTCGATCGATTTCACAGTGACATTTGTTTACTGTTTTATTTGTTTTATTTCTGTCTTTTAATGTTGTTTTATGTCTGTATTTGTCTGTGCACAGACTTTTTGCTAATGAATTCCAGCGTGTTTTTTTTTTACTGCAAATGGCAAATAAACTGAATCTGAATCTGTGATTTTAATGCTTTCTTATTTTGTTCAGCACTTTGAGTTGCCTTGTGTATGAATTGTGCCATACAAATAAACTTGCCTTGCCTTGCCTATTCTTAATCCTGGTGGAAGGTCCTGGCAAGGCAAGACAAGTTTATTTCTATAGCACAATTCATACACAAGGCAACTCAAAGTGCTGAACAAAACAAGATAGAGAAACAGTCACACAAGGAATTAAAATAAAAAATAATCACAGTACATTAAAAAGAAAGATACAAAATATATAAAATCCCTCAGTTGTATGGACAGCTAAGCAGGACTGTTTTTAACCTGGATTTAAACATTGTTAGAGAGGAGGCCTGTCTCCAATTTACAGGAAGATTGTTCCAGATTTTACCAGCCTGAATCTGAAATGCAGCCTCCCCATGTTTAGGTCTGACTCTGGGCACCAGCAGGAGTCCGGGCCGGTTCATATGGCACTAACATGTCACTATCCTGCTTGTCTCTTTGAAGATGCAATACTCACATATCATTGTTTTTACTGTTTTTATTCCAAAAAGAAAAACCTAGAGTAAATGCTGTTCTTACATTGAGCAGGCTCTCCTCTCCACAGATCTCGACGTGTTGGCACATTTTAAAGCATTCTTTGTAAATCGTTGTCCATGGCATCATAGATAAGTTGTTTATCCGTCTACTATTTTAACCATACAACAACACAATATGTTGACTGTGCATCGTCCAGCCTATAGTCTTCGATTTCCACCAGTCCATTTGCGAAACCACTGCTGTTAAATGAGTATAAATTACCGGCGCCCTGCTTTAATCAGTGTGCTGCACTGTGTTTCAAGCCTCTAACCTTGTTACTATTTACTGCATTCACCTTGAGCAGAGAACACAGACAGATTTATTGTTTGTAAATGTTCATGGCTTTATTTTTCTCTTAAAGACAACATAAAGGCATTGAGTCGAGGTTGAATGCTGTTTCTTGTCAGAGTTTCATCTTTAGCGATGTCCTGTTTTTGTGTGTCTTTGTTAGCTTCAGCTTTGTTGGGGGAAGCAGAGCACTAACGTTGATTCAATTTTCCTAGAAAATGTCCTTGAGCTTGTTTTGTGACACCAGTAGAAACGTTTCTCTTGAACTATTCTCCTTTAACAAAAACATAACAGTATTTTAAATGTTTACAGCAAAAACAAATGTGAAAACGGTCTGAAAAGTTAATTCTAAAAGTTAAGTTAATTCAGAATACATGTATCCAGCATATGATTTTAGTAGAAAAAATGTAAATTATGGCTTTCTAGCCATATTCAGGGGATGGCAACAATCGCGTTTCATTGGCAACGAACAACCTGCCCTGTAACCTTCATCATATGTGCTATTTTTTTCTGCATTTTCATTCATTTTGCCCAAAATATGGCTTATTGATGTTGTGTAAAAGGCTGTTCTAGTCAAACGGTTGTGATAATGGTGTTAGCAGATCCTTTTGGTTGGATTGAACATATATCTTATACCCATTAGTAAATGTCCCTAAGCTTCCAGGGATTTGTAACTCCATTCATCTGATAACAATGTCCATATTTGTTGCTGGTGGAAATAGTGCTGGGTCAGTTGACCAGCGGCTAACTCTATGGATCTAATGCTACATTGCTAATAGAAGTAAGCTTAGCTAGATACCGGTCTTTGGCATCCTTGTTGAGTTTCTCACTGTAAGCCTTCTTCTCGTTCTTATTTTGAATGTCCATCTTGCTGAAAATATAAGCATGCTTTCTGACTGCGCTCTGATGGCTTGATTGACAGCTGCTATCCCCTCAGTATGGCGCCCAGATGCGCTTTGGTCACATGACTCCAAAAGAGCCATTATGGACATAGCTGTAAATATACTGTAGACTCCTTAAGGTTGTAAATGCTGTGATGCTTTCTTGTGGCCGGGGCTTAGCTGGAGACCCACTCTATATGTCTTAAGGATGTGTGCTTATGAGGTATTGTACTAGACTTTCAATTGTGTGAATATGTGGCATCTGTCCAGTCCTGTGTTGATGTAGAAATGTATCACTTGTCTGTGCACAAGATTTTTTTTCCTAGCATTTTAAGAGGAAGTTTTCCCATGGAGCCTTGCCGCTTGGCTTTGATTCCACTTTTAAGGCTCTGTCAAGATGACAGAGGAAAAACAACACTCTTGAGCCTCTTCTGTTCAAGCCGCTCTGGGATAGCTCAGTATTAGCATATCTGCTGTGCGCGGAAGACATTGTTCACTGTATCGGCCCAATCTATTCTCTGAATCTGATCGACCTGATTCATAAAACATGCAGAGACTGGTGGTCGATACCTCGGTAGAGTTCTCAAAATGAAGTTATACTCTTGTATCTCATAAATGATCGTCCCTGGATCATCCCCTCCTTATCCTAATCAAACCTTTAGAAATCGACTCATTAGACAGAAATGTCTCTTTGTTAATCACCAGGGTTTGGACTTTCTTTTGCATTTGCATGTGATTTAAAAAGTGTTCAGTTGTTTCCAACTACATTCACATACATTGCACACATTTTGTCTTTTTCATTCTCTGAAAAATGTCTATGAGATAGATACTGCAGGGTACCACTGTCCACAATTGCACTGTGGTTAGAAATAATAACAATAATAATAGTCATAACACATTTTATGTATATGTTACATTTAAAGATACTGCAGATTAATTAGAACAATGGTATTATTGAATGCATTAATGTGGAAAAAAATCTCTTTGGTGTGGAGCAGTTTCCTATGAGGGAGTTTGCATGTTCTTCCTGTGTCTGCATAAGTTTCAACACCTCTACGCCCCTTAAAGAGATTCAGAAATCTTAGCTGTAAAATCTTGGATTAATTAATTAGTGAAATAAAGTGAAAGGCTTGCTAATTACTAAGACTGATGGTGTAGGGTGCAATAATTTCATTTGTCCCTTTTAATATTGCGTATAGACATTGGGCCTCATTCACGAATAACTTCGTAAGAAACTACTCAACTTTCTTCTCAAGTTGTCCTTAAGTAGATTTCTAAGAAGTCCCCACGTGGGATTCATCAACGCACTCGTAAGCCGCTGAATTGTTCGCAGCTGTTCTCTCAGATTGATGAATCCCATTTCCTCGTAAGTACAGCGCGCGTGCCAGGTGCTTCATTAGCATAGGTACTTCAGCATAAGTAACCGCCCACTAATGCCCATATAAGGGGCTGCAGGGCCGTGTGCAGACGGCAGAGGAAACAGCCTTCAGCATTAATAATGGATTTAAACTTTTTTACAAGGCACTAGAGGTAGTTTTAAATTTGAAATTCAGACAAACTTGGTGAAGTGTACATAGACGAAGGAGGATGAAGATTGGGACATACCGCCGTATGTTAAATCCAGATGTAGCGTTGGGTCAATCGAGGCTACACCTTTCTCCGGAAAAAGTAAGTTTTCTGCGGAAATCCCATTGCATCTTTGACAGCCTGGGCTCCCTGTATGTGGGACAACCTGGGTTTAAAATATCAGATGCAAAAGTGAAAATTCCCTGCGCTTTCGGCTTGCCCGTTTCAGTGGTTACTCTGATTGAATTGGGGAAAACACATTTAATCATGACCTTTTTCTGTTTTGAAGTGTGTAATGGGTAAATCTCTTGTTCTAGGTTGCCCATGGTATAACTTGAATATCTTGGAATTACTGCTTATCGGTTGGAAGATTGCAACTGGTCTAATGAGGTGAGCATTGGTGGTGGTTGTGTGTCTACAAATCTGCATCCACTGATAGACCTAAAGCAGCCTCTCTTGGCTTTTTGGTTTGCATAGTGATGCTAAATTGATATTCCTTGTGCTTTCTGGTAGCTATTAATGTGGCTGCACAGATTGAATTGGGAAATACACACAAGCTTACCTCATACTGATTGCTTACTTGGCATTAAACCATTTTTATCTTTGTTTCAGATGTCTCTACGAATGGACTGGGGGCACATTTTTTAGGGGGTCTGTCATCATTATTTTTTTTATTTTTTTTAACAAAACATTGGAATAAAGACTTGTTTGATACCACTAGTTGCTTTTTTAATCCACGAATTTCTTGGCCATATGCTAAAACCAAAGACTTAAGTTTCCACTCTTAACCATTGGGTCAAAATGATCAGTAATTTAAGTCTCTTTTGACTAATTCAGTCATTTCACTGTATTCCACAATGTAATTTAGTTAAAACCATGGATGAATGCAGAAGTGAAACTGAAATTCATGTACTTAATGAAGCAGTTGCTAAAATCATCCTGTTGACTAATAATGTTTCTATTAAATCTGCGACTTGCAATTACAGGGACAACGTTAAATGGTTTAAGACCCTATGTAAATTTAGACTGGTATAAATGTCATGGACACAAAATGTCTGTCCTGCTGTAGCCTGGCCTTAGCCATCCGTGCACTCTACTCAATTATTGAAATGTGATTAGTATTATGACCAGGCTAGTCCTGTGTTCCAGATTTTCAAGGTGCCTTCACTGTTTAATACTTAGGTGTGTATCATGTCAAAGTATAGAACATGTGAATTGGATTATGGAAATTAAGTTACGTTACCATTGTAATGAACTGTACAATGTGTCATTGGACATAGTCACATTGTAGCAGGGGTTAGACAGTACAAGTCGACGTCAGGCTAAATCCCTTTTGGTCTAAAATTCTTAATCAGGCATGTTAATTCCTTTGCTTTTTACATTGTACACATGATTGTGCGTCTTCCTGACTAACTTGATCATTTAATACACTTGACACCACCGTCATTGGTCTCATAAGTGATAATGATGAATCCTCTTAGAGCAGAAATCAAATGTTCAGTGGACTAATGACCTCCAGCTGAACACATGTGAACTGGTCTTTGACTTTAGCCCTAACGGTTCTCACATTTGCAGATTGTAGAGGAGTGCAAGTTTAACGACCTGAAATGGGACAAAAACAATACTCTGGTTAAGACAGCTTGTCGGCATCTCTACTTTCTGCAAAAACTTAAGGGAATTTACCACTAACTCTTAAGATTCTACTTAACCTTTATCGCTGCACCATTGACCGTTTGCTTGTTGGTTCTGTGACTGTGGTTTGGTAATATCACAGCAAAGAAAGGAGAGCTCTAAACAAGGTGCTCCGCTCTGCAAAGAGGACTGAACTGTGAGCTTCCTGTTCTGGAGGTTCTTTACAAATCCACACTTTTAAGCCAAGCAGTTAGAATAATCAATGACTCCTCTGGCCACCCTGGAAAAGCCATGTTCCAGCTTCTTCCCTCTGGCAGAAGATAGCATATTGAGATGTTCTGCATCTCAGCGAATGATAACAACTTCTTTCCACAAGCTGTTATCAGTTTAAACATAGCACTTTAATGGTCTTGCCTTTGTATTGAAACGGTTTTAGTCGATCAGTGTCAATTGTTCACTGTTTTGTTATTGTTTTATTTCTGTACTTTTAACCTTGTCTTATTTATGTACTTCTCTCGTGCACACTGGGGACTTTTGCAAATGGCAAATAAATGAATCTGAATCTTTAACCCCCGGGTCAAATTGACTCAAGGATAAAAACCTAATTTACAATTAGGTTTGTTCTCCCAGCAGACAGTGCATGTATCCTTGCATTAAATCTTTATTAAGTCAGCATTACAAAAACAAGATTAGTATATCAAATGTACATGGCAAACATTTAAAATGTCACTTTACCTTGTGTAAAGCAACAAGGCTAAATTTAAAAATACTTTCCTTAGGCAGAAAGTTGTCTCGTCATTCTTTACCCCAACTTCCAGTGTAATGCAATACACACTCCACTTAAACTATTCATCCTCTGTCTTTTCTTCTCCCTGGTAGTGTCGATACTCGGGCTTAAGCTCCCATGTGTTCTTGTGAGTTCCCTTCACGTTGTAAATGCCAATGTCGCGCAATATTTCCTTCAAGTAAATCTAAAAGAAAAACAATGATTAAATTAGATATCAGTCTGATCACTCATGGCCAACTGAGCTTGAATGAACCACATCCAATTGCCTTTTCGGTATTCAGCAAGCAGAACAATCTAATTTGGCGCCGTTGGCAACATTTAAAATTAGCATTGCAAATGTGAAGCCCCTCACAGTTGGGTTTATTAGAGAATGTGCCATAGTCGTGTAATGGATCAAAACCTGTTATTATTCAAGGTCTTACCACTGGCTGCTTGGTGATGTCCACTAGATCTTTGATGTTGTAATACTGATGCTTCTCAAAGGCAGAAAACAACATATCCAACACCTGCTGTTTGTCTGCCCTTGCTCTCTTCCCTTCCTCTTTCTTTCGCCTCTCGTACTCGAGCTGCAACAAGATGCCATTGATGAGTCAGTAACAAAGCAAGATTATGAATCGTAGAGGTTGTTTTCACCAAATGTTTACATGCTACATAAATGTTCTTACATTTGTTTGCATGATTTGCCACAGGCTTGTAGTTGCTTGTGACTGCTTTATCGAGTTGCTGTGATAATCTGGCTGGTTTTGATGATTCCTCTATCTGCAACCTGTTCAGATGCATATACATTCAGACGGCCTCATAATAAATGTCTCACTCCAATCTTAAACACCCACCTTTTCAACTTCATGTAACTTTCACTCACAGCTGGTCGGCATTCCGCTCTCTGAACCACCATCCCCTCCAAGGCTATTTTATCTGTAAAGAGAAGGAGAAATTCTTATGATAGAATTCTTTTTTAGGTAGGACATTGTAACTTTTCTGGTGGAGTCTGCAAACAGTGGAGAATTACTTTACGTGGAATTTTCCACACAAAACCAGCCACTTGTCAAGATTTGTTTTCTTTAAAGCATTTCATTATGTCAGTTTATATTCTTACAAAGCCATCACCAATGCATATGAACAAATTTGTAAACTTTAAAAATCGGTTAGGAACCCCATTTCACCATTCCAGGATAAGCAAGAATTCAACAGGTGAAATGACGTGCTTTTAACCTATGTGCTATCCAAATTGACCTGCCAGTGATTAAAAAAATACCCAAAATAATGTTTTTACGCGAATTTTGATGATTTTCTCCTGAATTGATCCCCCCTCAGTCATTTAGACTCGAATATAGGGTATTTTCCTTCGACTTTTAATCACCTGCGGCAGGTCATTTTGACCTGAGGGTTGCACAAGGGTTAAATGGGTGTACATTTCACCCACACAAAAGTAGACATAATTTCACAAAATTATGTGAACAATCCAGCAACAATAAAATTAACTGTGTAACTAATCAAAGACATGTATTATAGCACATTCATTCATGTTATACTACATTGGGCCACTAAATCTAACTAATACCAATATAATATCTAGATCAAGAAAGAAATGCATTTACTTTTATGTCAAAGACTTAAAGTCACATTTAATTTCTATTAATCAAGACAGTCAGTTACAAACTCAAAATGTAGATAGAGTGAGCACTCATTTGAAAGAAGACAGAAACACACTCCAAAGATGCGGCTCCGTCACTCACGATTGGACTTACCTGGTCCTGCACTCGAACCTAGGCTGCTGCCATCAGATCTCTCCTCTGACTGGCCTACAGGGACGGAGGCAGGGATGGTAAAAGTGACAACACAAGGGGAGGAGGACGAAGGAAGATTGCCAGAATTTACATGACAGCATTATCACTCAGTATTTTAGTGCAATTGCCCAAATAATTTCCATACTTAAGTATAGTGTATAAAACTTTTCACAGCAACAAAAGGAGCAGTTAAAAGTATATCTAAGATACACAAACAGAATAGCAGCAACTATCACTTTGATTACTTCAGCTAATTACTTCACAAGATCATTTGTGTGGATGTTTGTTCCAAACAAAGCCATTTCCATGCACCAATAAAACCCACATTGTGCACTTTGTTGATCTTGGTTGGTATACTTCTGTGTAAACGCAATTATATAGCAACTATTGATGTATCAAATAAACACAAATACAAAAGTTACATGGTGCACAGACAGGGGTTCATGATCAGACAAACCTAAAATGACAGTTTCCAAGAGGATCGCAATACATGGTCATTCATCGATCTATCGATAAACAGTAACAAGCAAGTTGCCAAGGCTGCACATAAAGCTTTTAAATAGAATATGCCAGAGTTTTTTCAGATTATTTATTTTAAGCAGAGACAAAAACGTAAATCAGTACAAGTAAAAATGTGTGTGAAAAATAGAGGCCAACTTTTCTGGGAAGTTGCTGCATAGAGAGTGACATTTTCAGTGGTCTCATAGGTCACAATAGTTACAAAATGTGCAACAACAATAATTTGGGGAATGTGTGTCCTGGGAGATTTTTGTATTTTAAACAGGGGGGAAATAATTTAGCAAAGCAGGAAAAGCAAAACTGCATGTGTAAAAAAGCCAAAAAGTATGTAGAACAAGCCAATGCAGTCAGACACCAAAAAGAAACAAACATAAAACAATGTTTAGATTTATACAACAAAACCAGAGCAGACATGTTATTAGCAGCAATAAATAGACTTGCACAACACAAATACCCACCTGATGCCATTTCTGTGAAGACTGCTAGTGTCTGACCTCCTACACTCTGCATTGTGAATGGATGCTCTCGAGGTGCTGCCACTGTGTTTATTCCTTCAATTATAGTCAACTCTTCATTTAAAGTGAAAGTCACCTAACAGGAGAAGCAGAGCAAAAAGTTTATGATTATGCTGATTAGGCAGTCTATAAAATATGACATATCATATCATATCATAAATTACCTCAGGCTTCCCCAAGTTCCCTTTCCTGGAAATGTCAAAGGCATTAGTAATATTACAAAAAAATCATTTCAACAAATGATTAAAATGTACGTACTTGCAAATCCGGATCTTCCCAACTTCTCCCCTGCCAGGTGCTTTTGCCCATTGTTGGGACAAATATTTGGGAACCTGTGTGAAAAGGTTCAGTATTCATAATTTGAAGCTGAAATGTTATTGCCCAGTCAATGCTACAGTTGGTTTGTCTCAACATATTACAAAATTATAATACACATATTGCATGAGGATAGTCCTGTTTTTTATATTAAAAAAATAAAGAAAAAGAACATGCATGTGAAAACTAGCGGTTTTGAGAAGGAGAGACTACCTATACTACATATATGGATTTTATAAGGATACATAGTGGCAATATGCGTTCAGTGTGATTATTGCGCTGCCAAACTCATAAGTAGAAGGAGCAATTGATAATAATGTTGTGATGTGTAAGATTTACGTTTATGTTTCCAAGAATTCTCAATTCTAACCAAGTGAACGTAACAAAATAGTTCTCCCAAAACACTAACAATGAGCCTGGCTAGTGGCTAAATTGAATCCATGTAGCGGTAAATGCTAACTAGGCTAAAGCTAAACAATATTATAGATCGATCAACTATCACAAATGAACAACAAACACAGACCTTTACGAGCCATACGCCAGTGTTTTGCTTCGCACCAGTTAAATCCACCTCTCCCTTTTCTGACATAGTTAAAATAAATAAAATGTTGCTTCTAAAAAATGAATACGAAACTGGCACATGCGCAGAGTGAAAGAGTTAGCTACTACTGTACGGCGGCCGAGGAAGTTCTAAGTATATAAAGCAAACATTTTTTTCCTTCAGACTTTCATCTAAGCACACTACAATGCAATTATGGTTTTATATATTTTAATATAATTACCCTGATAAAAAAAAAGACCTCAAAGATTTTTTTTAGTGATGGGAGTTGATATAAAAACAGAAAATTATGTAATTTAATCACAGTTGAAGTTTTGGACAGTTCTGTATTATTTATGACTAAACTCATATTAGTAAAACTGGCTGCAGTAATCACGATCTAACCCATTTGCCTTCTCATGTTTCCCATAAAAATGTAGTTCAACTACTACTATTTGATGCACCTGAATTTCAGTTAAGAAATTGACAAAGAAATGTTTTCTGTACGGTCAAGATGTTTTAAAACTACAGTGTATCAGATAATGTGCTTATATTTTGTTTCAGCATACATGATTCCTGGGGGTAAATCCAAATAAAATATGTAAGGATGAATGATCACATCTGTGATTTCAGGTCTCTGAGTATTCACAAAATATAAACGTCTAAAATTACATAAAACATACTTTAATCTCATCAAATATTCTCAAAGGTCAGCAGTACGCCAAGGAAATGGGGTAATATCAGCAGTACTTTCAAACCAAACATTTTATGTTTTTTGCACATGAAAAGGTGTAATAAACAGCACAGTAATTACGCAACAAAATAAAGAGGTCAAATATGACTAAACAAAGCCTATACATGTTGTGGTCTTCTGCCACAGGGAGCACAACTTATTCAAACAATGAATCAGTTACAGAAACATTCTGTCTCTGCTGTGGGAGAAGCGTGTGTTCAGTTCCTGAGATTTTTTTAGCAGTCTTTGTTTCTGAGCTTCATCAAAGCGGTTTACTTGAAGGTCTGCATCTCGGTCGAATGGCCTTCTTTCCACGGGTTGATCAGCCTTCTCTTTTGCCTTCTCCTTCATCTTCTTTGAGTGTAAGGTCATGAGAGACTCTGCACGTTTGGAGTCCTGTAGACATGTATATAAAACAAGTTTACACCAAGATATGAATGGAAATCATATAATATAATAATAAAACACACTCAATTATATTTAGATACTTTATCTGCCATCTGAATGTCTTTAATAGAGAGCTGTGGAGGATCATCTTTTTTTTCCTTTTCATCTTTAAGTTTCCCTTCAAGACGCTCCTGTATGAGAAAATAACTTTGTCAACAAAACAGATACACAACAAAATTGAATGTCTAGTACAGTAATAACAGACCCTGGTTTTGCGCTCCCTGTCTGCAGGTGTATCCGTCCAAATTGAGCGATCACCTTTTTCAGGACCAGATTTCTTTTTGAACGTTCGAGCACCAAGACCAATGTGTTGGAGTTCAGGTGGGAGCTCAGTCATCCACGATTCCCGTGCGGGTGCAACTGGGGCATCCTGGAACATACAGTAAAAGACATCTCATGAATGGACCTGGTCAAATGCTCTTTAGAGACTGGAGTGTTGTATTAATTCTACCTAACACGATACTGTTTGAATTAGGTCGACATATCCATTGGTGTGCGTGATATGCTACTGATCATTTGTCTTTTGTTACATACACATTAAAAAAACCCACTAATTTAGTGATAAAGTATCATACTTTGCCTGAGAGCTTATCTTTCATTCTTTGAGCCCGCCGCTCAATATCCAGAGCCACTGAGTCTTCAGTGGGCCCTTTCGATGGCATGGGTCCAATGACATCCTCATCTTCATCTTCACTGCTGGATGCCTGGTGCTGGTATCCAGGGGGCAGTGCTGGGCCTGAGAAATCTTCTTCATCTTCACTGTCATCCTCCTCCTCCTCATCATCATAGGACGGTTTCCGAAATCCAGGTGGTAATGCTGGTCCTATTGCAGGGGTCCTGAGGGGAGACTATGAAGTTACATTTTCCATTTGTAATGGTTTAACAAACATGATTTTCAAACTTTTGCAAAAAAAACAGTTGTTACGGGTCAGGAGAGCTCTCTTGCTTCTTGAATCCTGGAGGTAGAGCTGGTCCAAAGAATCCATCATCATCATCTTCTTCTTCAGTTACTGCATTTTCTCTTTTTGAAGGAAATACTTGCATTACTATGTTAAAAAGGGTAATTTATTTGACCACTGTAGGCCAAACTCTTGTTTGTTTGAGGCGACATAAATTCAAACATAAAACAATGTACTAACAAACATGGGAGTATTACAATTGAGGCAGATCAGGCAAAACAGACAAAAATTAAAACAATAAAAAGCAAATCCTGATGTTTCAAATTTAAAACTTTTCTGAACAAATTTGGACACTGGGTAAATGTTGTGGCATATTTTTAAGCGGGACTCTTTGACTTTAGGTCATGAATTAGAGTAGGCCTCGTTTGGCAAAGCAGAAGCATCACATTACAAACTACCCTCCATCCATAAATGTGAGGACGACTAGAAAAAGATTCTGTACATCAATGTGTGGAATAAGATTATGGAACAGATTGTCTGTGGAATAAAAAATAGTGATAACATAAATGTATTTAATAGCTTAAAAATACGTTCTTCAAGTGTTATGAGAAACAGAAACCTTAGGAAGGAATTTAAACTATACATGTTTCTATATGTATGTGTATGTGTAAGTATGTGTGTGCGTAGGTATGTATATGTGTATATAAAGGTGTATGTGTATGTGTGTGTGTATGTATATGCATATGTATTTGTGTATGTGTGTATACATACATGTGTGTGTAAGTGTATATATGTATATATGCGGACTGCCCTGCCCGACCCGCCTGGGAGTGCTTCAGTCCTGCACCGGACCTGTCCACGTTCAGCGGCCACTGGTCCACGTTCTGTAGCTAGCTTAGGTCCTAGATCATTAGCCTGTCCGTCCGGAGGAGCGGATCCCTTTCTCAAATGGGTCTCCCTCCCTGTGGGTTTCCCTAGTTCTCCTCCAAGGTTTCTCACTTTTTCCCACTGGGTTTTTTAAGAGTTTTTCCTTGTCGATGCAGGAGGGTCTTGTTGGACAGTTAGTGTCCAACAGAAAGGATTGGTGATGATCAGGACACTTTAGCATTCTACAACATGTATGGACATTTTCTTCTGTGTGTGCTTTATATTCTTCATGTGTTTTAACTGTTGATTCTCTGACCTGTGTTGGTGATTTCAATGGTTTTGTTAAGTCCTCTGAGATGACTTCTGTTGTGACAAAGGGCTATACAAGAATACGTTGTATTGTATTGTATATAATTTGTATGTAAATTGATTTTGGTAAAAGCAAAAGGAATGTGGAACACATAACTACAGCAAACACTTTTGTGGATAAGGGGTGGGACTAAATAAGTTTTTTACTTTCCCATTTTGTTTGTATACATGTTTGAAATAAATAAATAAATACAACAAAATACAAATACAAAATACCCTATTATAATCGTGATAAAGAAAAGATTTGAAAGCATCGGTTACAAATTTGTTATGACATTTCTCATCAACCAGATTTAGATTGTTAATCAGCAGACTCGGAAACGTTGTTTTTGTTGATCATAACGTACTGTTGATTTCCAGTGGCGTGGCTTGTTTTGGCTCTTTTTGGAGACACCTCTTCTTCACTGTCGTCTGAAGACCCTCGTTTGTACCCAGGAGGCAGAGCTGGACCAACAACTGTTGCAATGGACATACAAAGACAAGAAAACATAAACTACATAAATTCAAGAAATGGAAAAGAGGCCATACGTTCATTATCCGAATCCGAGTCAGTCTCGTCTTGGCTGTTCCTCAAGTGTGGAGGCAATGTTGGCCCAGCGGACGACATATTTGCAATAAAATGATAGTAATAATAAAAAACAAACACAAAACAAAAGGAATCTCCGAGAAGGAGTAAATCCTAAATCTCACACAAACTGCTGTAAAATGGTATCAACCTTTGACTCAGGATGTAAATAGTGTAGCTGCAATCCGATTGGACACTTTTTAGTAAATTAAAAAAATATAACAAGACACTTCCGCTTGTCTTCAGCATCCATAACCATAGACATATAAATTATGTCTACGTCCATAACACCCATCTATGATTACACCGCTAATGCAAATCTGAGTGGGCTTCTTGTTTATATTTGATAAATAAATAAATATGTATTTCTGATATTTTACCTCTAATTTCCTTTAATTATGCATTTCCGTCTCCAGTAAAACGGTCGAAGTTGTTATTTTATTCTGAAACGGCTAACCGGAAGTCTTGGTGCTTTAAACTACTATTCACTCTTTCAACCACAACATGTCACATCCACAGACGTGTGTTTCTATTTCTATGATACAGTAATGCCATTTTAGTTACAAAACTATTATCACATATACATTTCCTCATCCTCTACTCGAAGAATGGGTAAAAAGGATAAAAGTGACCGTGGTAAGTAGCGTCTATCACTGTACTGAGCACTTAGCTAGCTTATGGTTACCTTCTACTAGCTTTTGTTCACAAAGTGATGTGTTATTTGTAAGCTATTAATATTAATTTAAAATGTGTAATGCAGTAAGCCATTCAGCGTTAGCTGTGTATCTTTAAGATTCTTGGTTTGTAGATTTGAAATTGTTCAATATGTTTAAAGGATCACTAATCTACTTTTCTGAGGGATCTGCCACTAATAGAATTCAGTTGGTTTGATGTATCACGAAACAATACATTGACTTAACTTAAACTTTATTATATTAAGTTGACCCCTCGGGAGTGAGTTCCACACGTGGATTTAAGGTGCACACTACGTAGATATTGTACTGCAACTTTAATCATCTAAGGGAAGTTTACTCTGACAGATGCTCCACCGAATCAGCCACTGAGTGCACCTTATGTAACTACAGTTACATCAGATCAGTATTGTACTTTTTTCCATTGTGAGATCAATAAAGTTAATCTGATCACAGGACAACTACTTATTTAATGTACTGTCCCCTGTACTTAGGGTGATTTACAGCTATTACAAATTATTTACTCTATATTTGTAGATAGGTTTTTTTTAAATAATAAAGCTAATTCATATGAAGTAACCATAGCGTTTACCTTCTTTCCTCTTTGAAACGCAATAAGTGAAAAGGTGTACATTGACAAAATATTTCTAGTTTCTTATAAAAAAAGAAAAATACAGTATATATACCTGTTCGGTTAAGTAATACCAGTGTTCAGATTTTCCCAATACATGTTAGTTATTTGTTTTCAAAGTCTTATGACATTTGGAAGGTAAAGTCAAGTTGAAATTTTAAATTTGTATAATTGTATATATGATAATGTATATCACATTTAATTTATAAGGAGCCACAGTGGGGCCAAAGTGCCAAACTGTCGTTGTGTCCTTAGGCAAGACACTTCACCCACATTGCCTAGATTGAGTCTGGTGTGTGTGAATAGTTGGTAGTGGTCGGAGGGGCCGATGGCACATATTGGTTGCTTAGCTTCTGTCAGTGTGCCCCAGGGCAGCTGTGGCTACAGTAGTAGTTTATCATCACCGTGTATGGAGTGAAAGAATAATGACATCTAAAGCGTCTTTTGAGTGTCCAAAAAGCACTATATAAAACTGATGCTTTATTTTTTATTATTATTACATATTTACATTACATTTGAGTAAAACATCCCCATACATGAATAGCTGTGTTTAAATTACTGTAAAATATACATTGTATATTAAACGTTGTTTCAATAGTGTTCAATAATGGCTACAATTAATAGTCATTGATAATGTTATTTGTTGTAGTCAAGAAGTCCAAAAAGCGTGTGTATGATGAAGAGGAAGATGAAGATGATTTTGGAGGCAGTGAGCCGCAGGAGGCTGTGCCTGCTGCAGCTGGGAAACAGGTGGATGAATCTGGAACTAAAGTGGATGAGTACGGAGCCAAAGACTATCGCTCTGAGATGCTACTGAAGAATGACCATTCATCACGCCCGCTCTGGGTGGTAAGTCCTGGATACATGTCGATATCATCTGTTTAATCACCTGGTTTACTTTCTCAAATGTACATACTAATACTACTACTACTTTCTAAATTCCTTATCACACTTTCCTGTAATTCTTCTGTTTTGCCCCTAGATGATGCTGTTTCTTGTAAATCTTGATTTAGGCTAAGAGAACTCTACTGTACTCAATCATTTTAAACTACAATTAAATACATGTGTAGTTATACTTATAACATTCAAATTATCACCAAAACGTTAAAGTGCAAACGTGGAATTAATTCATCTAAAGTATACCGTTGTTGAGATGGCATTGTTTACTATTTTAGTTCTAGTGTAAAGGCAATGAGACATGAGATCTTGTAGAGATGGGTCCCCCCGGGCATTGCCATTAGTGGCATTGTTGATGAATGTTGATAAACATCCTGAATCATCACTGTTCTTAGACCCTCCTGCTTGGCAAGCCAGTGGGGAAAAAGTGAGAAACCTAACATTATTCAATTTAAGATTTTGCTTAAAAATTTTAAATTGTAAATGTGGCATGAACATGTGTTTGTTTTCAATGTCCCTACAATCAGCACACATCGGTGTCAGGCCTAAACTTAGCTGCTCCCAACTGCTCTTCACTTGGGCTTACTTTCTATAAAACAATAATTGATATTTTAAACAGCTGTCATTCAAAAAATAATACAAACCTCCTATATGCATTGCTTTGTTAATCATATTTTTCTTTTCTTTTTTTTCTTCTCAAGGCTCCTGATGGACACATTTTTCTTGAAGCCTTCTCCCCTGTCTATAAATACGCCCAGGATTTCTTGGTGGCCATAGCTGAGCCAGTGTGTCGGCCGAACCACGTCCACGAGTACAAGCTGACTGCCTACTCCCTGTATGCAGCTGTCAGTGTGGGCCTTCAGACATCAGACATTGTGGAGTACCTACAAAAACTTAGCAAGACTTCTGTTCCCGATGGAATAATACAGTTTATAAAAGTAGGTTGCTGCTTTATATAAAATAGACATTGTAATATCCAGTATATATTGGCCACTATTTTCAAAAAACAGCTTATTTTTTTGTGGACAATAGTACCCTTTACTCCAAATGTGAATGACAAGACCCAATGCAAATAGTGGTCCATGGTCCATGGTCTATATCAGCAGTTCTTATGACCCTGAATGGGGATACATGGCCTGAGAATACACTGTTCTTTTAATCTGCTGTATTTTTTAACAAGGCACTAATAAAACATTTATTTTGTCAATAGCTCTGTACTGTGAGTTATGGTAAAGTCAAGCTGGTTCTGAAGCACAATAGGTAAGCTTTTATTTATTCCACTATAATTGCCTATAAATAACCAGTGGAAAAACAAAATAAAAGTGGTGATATTTCAGGTACTTTGTTGAGAGTGCCTTCCCTGATGTGATCCAGCGTTTGCTTCAGGACAACGTGATCCGTGAATGTCGACTTCGTAATGCAGATGGAGGGGACACCGAGCTCATCACCGAAGTTATCCACAGCAAATCAGCGGTACACTTTACATTTGTTGTGCTCATGTTCTAGAATTGTATTTCAGTTGGAGGGCAGCTGCCAATACTGCACATTAGCTGCGCTTTATAAATAAATAAATGCCATACTTGATGGGGAATATTTAAAAGAAATGTTGGAAAAGATTATTTCCAATTGTTGTTCCAGTTTTGATAGTGATTTGATTGAGAAAGCTGCCATATTGTTGCCATGTCTGAAACTACTGACCAACCTAATGAATATGATTTTTGAATATTGTCACACCTGCAAAAATAATTAGATCCTTATTTACTGACAAAGAACATGTTCGACTGTGTGACTCTTTTTAATGTGGATTGGATCAGAAATGGCAGAGAAATTGGCTATGTGTCTGATTTTGACAATCGCCATAGTTTTTTATTTTTTTTATTTTTACAGATGTCTGCCACACCATATACTGTATATATTAACGGACAGAGTCACGCCTATCTCCGCCGTTCTAACTAATGGGCCAATACATTTGTTCTACTGGAGCTATCCAAAATAGCCACGAGTGGTCCCGCCCACAAGAAAATTGTGAAAAAACGCATCTGCGCATGCGTCAGCTGGCGAGAGCTCCATTCATTTGAACGAGAGACTTCAAAAATTCACAGCAAGTAAACTAGAGTGGTCCAAAAAAATTCACCCCCCTCAGCATTGACACACATGTGGAACGGAGCTTTGGGCCAAGAGCCAACTTTTGGACCATCCTGTAAAGACGTTTTCAAGAGGTCTGCTAACGCTATATGTTAGCATTGGCTAATTCTACTTCTGGGTCCACCCCCATCGGCCCGGGGTGGTATTGCAAGCATGTCAGCGCACATCATTTTGGCCACTTTTGAGCCGGGACCCGCCCCCACTGGTTTAAACCTGTATTAAGCTCTCAGGAATGTTGTGACGTCACTTGAACGCAACTTATTAGATAAATCCTAAACAATTCATTGGTGCTTTTCCTTCATCCTGTTTGCTAACGATTCATGGTAATCCTCTCAGATTTTGAAAACTCTGGAAAAAGGAGAAGCCTCTTCATCTCAAACTGCTGATGGTTCAACTCAGCAGGTTCCAGAGGACATTTTTAGCTACTATGAGCAAATGGACAAAGATGAAGAGGAGGAGGAAGAGACTCAAACCGTTTCATTTGAAATTAGACAAGTATGTGTTTTTGTATTCCTTTTAATAAAAAAAAATCATATTATCTCTGTTACTAGAAACTCAAAACCTTGGTGCATTATGTGACAAAACGTATCTTTCATCTGGTCTTTTACAGGAAATGATTGAGGAGCTTCAAAAGCGTTGCATTACTTTGGAATACCCGTTGTTAGCAGAGTATGACTTTCGTAATGATTCGGTGAACCCAGACATCAACATTGACCTGAAGCCCACTGCTGTGCTGAGGCCTTATCAAGAAAAGAGCCTGCGTAAGATGTTTGGAAATGGGCGCGCTCGCTCAGGAGTCATTGTACTGCCCTGCGGTGAGTCTACAGCTCAGAGGAAATTGAGAAACAGCTAGAAAAAATGAGAGTTTAATTCAGAAGTTACAGTCTGGGAAAAGTCTATACAGTATTACACAAGTAATACTTTTCTGCTGCTGTTGGAGTTACTATTATTACTTAGAGCTGGAGTACCTAACTTTGAGATACACAAAACGTGATTTTCCATGTATTTAATTCTTCGCTCTCAAAACCGTTTTCTGTCACAACTTTAGATCACTAGAACATAAAGTAAACCAAGATATAGGTGTGTTCACAGTAAAGTGCCAAATAATCTGGACTTTGAAAGGTTATAACTCAAACTAAATTTACCATCATAGATTAGGAACATAGATTTCAAACAGACATATCAAAGAGATGGTGTGGAAGGATAAAATCAAAAGGAAAGATTGACAAATACATTTTTGGCCTCAGCCTTAGTCAACTATGACACTAGTTACATAGAAAATAAAAGATCATCAGTGACAAAGCGGCAGATGAACTCCCACAAGATTAACATGGCTAACACATGTCAATAAAAAAAATAACTTGAGAAAAATCTAGTTTTCGTTTGTACCCTTTAGTGTGAACAAGGCCTTTTACTAAGGTACATACTAAGATTGAACTGTTTGATTCTTGAAAAAAGCAAACTATTGATTGACAAACAAAACAAATTTCATCGCCTATACTTTTTTAATTATCAATTGTTTTCCCTAATATATAATGTTGAATGTAGACATATTGTATTTTAGTGAAAAGAAGCAATTGTATTTTCTATTATTCACGTATTTTACAGGCGCTGGTAAAACCCTTGTGGGGGTAACGGCTGCGTGCACTGTCCGGAAACGGTGTCTTGTTTTGGGGAATTCTTCTGTCTCAGTGGAGCAGTGGAAATCACAGTTCAAGATGTGGTCCACAATTGACGACTCTCAAATCTGTCGCTTCACTTCTGACGCTAAGGACAAACCCATTGGCTGCTCTGTGGCCATTAGCACTTATTCTATGTTGGGTCACACCACCAAGCGCTCATGGGAAGCCGAAAGGGTCATGGAGTGGATGCGTAATCAAGAGTGGGGACTCATGATATTGGATGAGGTTCACACTATCCCTGGTAAGCTTTTATGGTCAGTAAATATTCCAGGTAACTATTGTATATAGAACCCATTTCATCGTTGTTATTGCTTTAGCCAAGATGTTTCGTCGTGTCCTGACCATTGTCCAGGCTCATTGCAAAGTGGGACTCACAGCTACGTTGGTCAGAGAGGATGACAAAATTGTGGATCTAAACTTCCTGATCGGACCTAAACTGTACGAGGCCAACTGGATGGAGTTACAGAATAATGGGTATATTGCCAAAGTCCAGTGTGCAGAGGTGAGCGATGCAACTGTGGATCAAATGATTCACTTTACCAGATTGAACTGTCAAAATCTTTACACCTGCATATGCTTGTTTTTATTCAAGGTGTGGTGTCCAATGTCTCCAGAGTTTTACCGAGAGTATGTGGCTATAAAAACCAAAAAGCGAATCCTTCTCTACACTATGAATCCAAACAAGTTTAGAGCTTGTCAGTTTCTTATTCGCTTCCATGAAAGACGCAATGACAAGATTATTGTCTTTGCCGATAATGTGTTTGCTTTGAAGGAATATGCTATTCGACTCAACAAGTAAGTTGTTGCTTTTATGGATTTAAAACCTGTTCCTGCCATTACTAATGGGGTTTTTCCTTAAGGCCCTACATCTATGGCCCAACCTCTCAAGGAGAGAGGATGCAGATCCTTCAAAACTTCAAGCACAACCCAAAGATTAACACAATATTTATCTCCAAGGTAAACCTAAGCTACAAGTTATCCAGTAGTTTTGACATTTGTTAGATGTACTGTATTACAATCATAATGTATTAGGTTTTTAATAGGGCTGTCAAAATTATCGCGTTAACGCACGTTAATAAAAAAATTTCATTAATTGCGTAAAAAAAATTAACGCATTGACGCATGTATGGAATGACCCGCCCATGTATCCCATAATAACACTCAGAATGTCGCAGACACATGCGTGTGTGAAATGGCGACAGAGCAGGTCTCTGGGAATTCAAGCTTAAAAAGAAAATGCGCGTGACTGCGGGGCACTTTGCTGTATGTAAAGTCTGCATCCTCTGTGGCCGCAGCGTTCTGACCCAGGGCAGCTGCGGCCAGTCTGGACAGAGGTTCCCACCTCTAACGGCTGTTACTTGTTGTGTGCGTGTCTTTGCGTAACCTGTGCATGCAATAAATACACCTCTGAGGGTGGACTACAGAGCCTCTGTCTCCTCCGTGTCTTCTCCCGAAGCGCACTCGCTAAATTAAAGCTGAGGTACCTAATTTTTCCCTTGCACTATCGGGTCATGTTGGTTGTGCCCAAAAGTAAAATGTTGTGAGCAACTCAAACAGATTTAATGACATTCTGCATTTCAGACTGTTTTGAAATCGGATCAATAGTTAATAGTCAAATCAATAGTTTTGGTCTGAGTCTACTACAGAAAGACAGAATGCAATTTTATGTGGATTTATTGTTGTTATAAAAAACAAATACAGTACATACATACGTACACTATGTTGTCATTTATCTTTCAATTCAAATAAGCATTTACAGAAAAATATGGCATAATTTTTCTGATAGTTTGAAATACGATTAATTACAATTAAGCACTTAGTACATGCTATTGTTCTACAGGTCGGAGACACATCATTTGACCTGCCAGAAGCAAATGTTCTTATTCAGATCTCATCTCACGGTGGATCACGGAGACAGGAAGCCCAGAGGCTGGGAAGGGTTCTGAGGGCCAAAAAAGGTTGTTTCCCATCTTTCTTTTTTCTCATGTTTTGAGTGATAAACCCCTCCTGCATTTGTATTAAATGGGCATGTGTGGATCTGTCCAGGAATGGTTGCTGAGGAATACAATGCCTACTTTTATTCACTGGTGTCCCAGGACACACAGGAGATGGCGTATTCCACAAAAAGACAGAGGTTCTTGGTTGACCAGGGCTACAGCTTTAAGGTTTGTTGTATAATGTCAGAGAAAATATTCCCCTTGCCTGCTCTTAAGTACGTTGCAGCTTACATAACTTGTGTTTATATCTAGGTAATCACGAAGTTGGCAGGAATGGATGAAGAAGAACTTATGTTTTCCACACGGGATGAGCAGTACCAGCTCCTTCAAAAAGTTCTGGCAGCTTCAGACTTGGATGCAGAGGAGGAGATTGTGATTGGTGAGGTGGGCGGTCGGCCACAGGTAAGAAAAACTCATAATGAACTCTTCAGGTTGAGGTGGAATTTGGTTTTCTTACATTTGTTTCATTCTAGATTGTGAGACGATCAGGAACAATGAGCTCTATGTCTGGAGCAGATGACGCCGTTTACATGGAGTATCAGAGCCGCGGCAGTAAATCTTCTTTGGCAAAAAACATTCACCCACTTTTCAAGCGTTTCAGAAAGCTCTAGAAAACACTGCACAAGCAGTCCGTTATAACTAATAAGTCAGGTCTGTTGTCTCTTTTGGAATAAATCCTGAAACCTGGACTGCTAAACTTCTCTTACAGCTGACTTTAAACTTTGTTTGGCTTTATGTATGTTATTTTTTTGTTATCATTTCAATTAACAAGACCAAAATGGTTAATAGAAGAATTTTATTAAAGCTGTTTTGTATATTTTGTTATAGAAGCAAAATAAACCAATCGATCTGGTTATTATTATTATTCACCTTTTTATGTGAAAGATAAAGATACATTGTTATTTTGACTAATTCTGAGATGATTCAGGTCCAGATTGAACTCCACATCCTCAAATTAATAACGTCCGAAAGTTTACACACACAAAAAGTGCATAGAGATTATACATGCAATCTGCCTGCACCTTTTTTCTTTATTACACATGCCTACGTCTCATCTTTAGGGAAATGTTTCTCAGCTGCCAAAGGGGTAACCCAGACACAAGCATTTAAATTTACCAAAGCAAATTGTAAGGAAGACAGGAGTTTGTTATGTCCCTGTGTAGAGATTGTTCCCACTTATGATTGGAAGAAAAAAGAAAGGGTCCTAAATAGATTTTGAGTGGAAATTTAAAGAAAATGGGAAGGTTGGATAAGGGGTTGTTTTTGTTCTCCTCAGGCATGTGTAAAAAGGCAGAGTTGAAGTATATATTGCGAATAACTATAGCCTCCTCTCTCCTCAACATTCCCTGTGAAAAAAACAAAATGAATACCCCTGATTGTGCCTTTGTTTAATCCTTTTTGCGTTTCTTATAGAACTTGAGACTTACTGGGAATGAAAGGAGTAAACCTCATGAATTCATTCGAGGAGAATGAAGAGAGGCTAATTAAGTTGCACTACTCATTAGAGAAAGATGACAGGCCCAAGAGTAATTATTCCAAGTGGATTAAGCTTTTGGGAGGATAGAAAAGGCAAGAGGTTATCTAAGGCAGGGCTGGACTGGGACAAAAAAACGGCCCGGGCATTTTTTCCTTTTTAGCGGCCCAGGCAACTCAAAAGGTTTAAGGAGCCGTATTTGACAAAAAAAAAAAAAAAAACAGCGTTGTATAAGGCTTATATGAAGGTAACAGGGGCTGAAGCTGTATTAGCTACATTAGCTACCTTAGCTACATTAGCTATATTAGCCTAATATCTAAATGACAAAGTAAAGGCTAAACACATAAAAACCATTCATGATTATCAAATGTGTATTTTCATTGCAGCGTGTCCTGGAGAGAATGATGCACCACGTGACAACTCTGCTTTAACTTTAACTTCCATTTTTTTTGCCTTCATGCAACTGTACAAATACAGTAAATAAATCTGCATTTTGACTCCGAGTTCACCTGCATCACTGTCTGTTCAAATCCATCACATCACAGGCTGAAGTTTGCTGGAGCTGAATGTCCTTAATGGCCTTTTCTTTCACAGTCTTTGCAAAGGTATTCGAAGTCTTAAAATAGGTGCTCTGACTTTATGATGAATGAATCCTTCAGTGAACAGTGTTTAAAGCTTCATTGTTCCTCCCGTTGCAACAAAACTTTTCATTACATCGCAAACATGAAGCAGTCCTTCCTCATTGACTGAAAGCAAATGTTCATTCTCATTTTTAGTCCAGTCTTATCGACTCTCTGTATCTTTGGGATCCGTGCGCACACACAGTCTATAATGCACGCCGGTTAGTTTACCACAGCAGCCGCCTGGCGCGGGGCCGCGTCACAGGATATGACGCACTACGTTGACAGAGATGCTAAAATTGAATATTACTTATACAAGTTTTTGCAGCATTGAAAAACGTTAAGAATGTTTTTCCTCCTACAGAAACCACATTGAAACTAGAAATAAAATATAGCCCTCCCACTCCATTTTCAGACATTTTTTAAAAGGCTCCAGGAGCCACTTTAGGGGCACTAAAGGTTGCCGACCCCTGGTTTATACAGTATGTGGAAGCAAATACTGTAGAGGATCAGGATGTCTGCAGTTTCAACAATAAAATAAAGAGCAATAGTCTACATTACAAGAGGGTAATGAACATGTCTCAAAGTGAGGGAGGTGGGCACAGACAATACTATTGTTTGTTACAGGGATGAAAAATTTCTGAAATGCATATTGTCAGCCATTAGCTGGCTCTAAATCTGTTTAATCTGTTCACAACATTTTACTTTTGGGCTCAAACATGAACTTTTAATGCAATGGAAAATTTAGGTACCCAAGCTTTAATTTAGAGGAGAGGGGAGACGCGGGCTGTTTTCTGCAGCGGTGTATTTATTGGGTGCACAAATTACGAAAAGACATGCATGGTCCTGTGCGCGTTTATGGTCTTGGGTACATGGTCACGTTGCGGCTACGCGCTCACAGTGTTGTGTTGTGAGCGGTTCCCGGTGAGCGGTTCCTGCGTCCAGCTCAGAGCCGCTGGATGCGGGAACACTGCGGCTGCTGAGGCGGTGGAATCCCGTTCGAGTACATACAGCAGGTGCCCCGCGGACACGCGCGCTCCCCTCAAACAGTTTTCAATGGATTTACACTTTTCACAAACATGTTTTCTGTATGAGGCAAACAGACCGGCCCAAATATGGGCATCGGCCCTTCGGGCATTGCCCGGTACGCCCGATGGCCAGTCCAGCCCTGATCTAAGGCCATTGTGCAAATTGCTTGAATAAAATTGAGCATAATATTTGTTTTTCATATCTTCGTATAGAATATATAGTGTTGTCACTCCCATTTCTCAGTCAAGTTAATCTGAGTTGTATATATGTGGTTATTAAAGTTCCGTAACTTGCATAATACAGTTGTCTAGTTTCTGCAATGAGCTGCGTACATTTGTGATGTAACCGTGTTTTGGCACGTTGAGATCCCTCACCAGCGGAGCCTGCAGCATTTGGGGATGTAACGCCCACTACCTTAAAAAGACTCATCCCTCCCATTTTTGTAAGTGGCCATCCAATCCACTTCCACGGTGCAAGATTGTACAAGCCATGGTTTTAAAACAAAACCACAATCAATGGAAATCTAACGTCACATTGAAACACAGGAGGGATTCACTTTGCACGTGCATCTACGACACGCAAATGTGAACTGGACTACACTCTCCTAGAGACACTATGGTCAGCCTCAACAAGTTAACGAGAGTCTGCTGGAAGAATGTTCACGGCACTCGGCAGCTGTGGCTCCCTTCACGGGCTTTGCACAAGTCCGCGACCAGTGAGGCTCTGGGGATCCCCGCAGCTGCACAGGCGGACATGCCCGAGCTCCTCACGCGGGACGCGGCGGAACAGACTGCTGTGAGGAGCCTGCAGGAGATGCCTGGCCCCAGCACTTGGGCCAACCTCGTCGAGTTCTTCTGGAGGGATGGCTTTGCCAGAATACACGAAATACAGGTCATTTATTCTTCAAAACCAGATCTGAAAGTGATGCGTAAATGTCCCCCTGTGCGTAAAAGCGCACCAGGCAACCGCAAATCAGGCGCATTGTATATCACGTCGCTTCTGAACTTTGAGAACGTGAGAACGTGAGCCGACGCTTATCTGTTTTTGGCCTGGCAGATTTGAAAATGTAGTGATTTTTATTTATGTGTATTCGTGAATTCAATGTTTATTTTATTATTATTACTATATTTTTTTAAAACAACATAACATTATGAAAAACGCAAGAAGACACATAATTGTGCATAATTGTTCCATGGATTTTATATCATTATGGTGTAAAACTACTAAACAAAACAAACGTTTTGTGTAACTATTTTTTTATTTGGGGTTTTAGTTTTTTTATTTGTAAAGGAAATGTAATCATTTCTAAAAGTTGCACAATAAACCCTCAGAATGATAATACACATTTAAGTAGTTTAATTAATACATGTATTTTTAAATGGTAAAAAGTACACCTAAACCAAGATCTATAGTAATGCAAATTCTCTGTGCATTCAACCCCACAGATGGACCATCAGAAGAAATTTGGGAAAATCTTCAAGTCGCGCTTTGGGCCACAGCTGGTGGTCTCCATTGCGGACCGTGAGTTGGTTGCCCAGGTGCTGAGGGCAGAGGGTGTTGCACCACAGAGAGCCAACATGGAGTCATGGAAGGAGTACAGGGACATGAGGGGCCGCTCCACTGGACTGATCTCGGCGTGAGTCCACCTCAACAATAATCCACAGAGGAGTGACAAACAGCACCTGCTGTCCCATGTGAACACTGCTTCTGCACAGTTCTGCTGGTGTTTCTTTTTGTTTTCTGAGATACAATACATACTGACTACAATCAAGCGCCATCTTTTCTTTTGGTCATATGTTTTGAGCATGAATATAGTGTTCCATTACATTTATGAAAGAGCTAATTTTCAAAAAATTCATTACTCTGTTTTGAAAATGTGTCAATTTATATTCCTTTTAGCTACAATCTTCAACATGTTTCATTATTGGCTGTGCATTTTAAAGGATTTGCTCAAGAAATGGTGAAATTTGTGTATGGCACTAAAATAGATGTGGTTATTCAAAATACTACTTGATGAAGGGTAAAGGGCACAGGCCTTTCCAATATTTTTCTAATGCCTCTTATCTGTTTTGTCAGTGAACTCTATATTGTACTGTTTTTCAGAGAGGGAGAGGACTGGCTGAAGATGCGCAGTGTTCTCAGACGACTCATAATGCGTCCACGAGATGTTGCAGTCTTTTCCGATGATGTGAACGGTGTTGTAGATGACCTGATAATGAGACTTGACATCCTGCGCTCTCAGGAGCCCGACGGAGCCACTGTCTTCAACATAAACGATCTCTTCTTTAAATACGCCATGGAAGGTTCCTGAAGAAATTACTACATATATATAGTTCTGAGTAATTACTGTAACTTCCTGGTTTTACTACAAAGTTTTTCTTATTTTCTATTCTTTAATTTCAGGAGTGGCAGCCATTTTGTATGAGTGTCGACTGGGCTGTCTGCAAAATGAAATTCCAAAAGAAACACAAGACTACATAAGCGCTCT